ATGGGCTGGCAAGTTTTTCCTATTGACTATCATGCAAATCGTTTCAAAAACAAGATGCACATTTTTGAGTTGGATTTGTCATTGCATGAGAATATTTCACTCCTTGAAGGCATGATCGAACAGATGAAGCCGGTAGGAGCCCATTTTGGGCTTATGTGTGGAACTTGCAGCCGAGCACGAGAAGTGCCGGTTGCACATGCATTACGCTCTCAAGGAGCACCTCAACCTGCGCCACTCCGTGACGCGTTGCATCCACTTGGCCTGCCAAATTTGAGCACTCTGAACCAGCAGAGAGTTGACGCTGCAAATACTGTTTATAGACATGCTGTGCGCTTGTTGCATGCACTTTTTCGTGTTGGAGCATTCATTACACTGGAAAATCCTTTACGATCGTGGTTATGGACAGTACTTGCAACACTGGTCAAGCAATATGCACGCGAACACAAGTGCCCTGAATTTGCTGAGTGGTATTTTTGTTTTCACCCCGTGGAATTTGATTTTTGCATGCACGGAGGAAACCGTGCCAAGTCAACCAAGTTGCTGGTGTCGACCCGACAGTTTGAGCCACTGGGGATTATGTGCGACAAGTCCCACAACCATGAGCCATGGACAATTGTCAGTGGATTTGATAAGTGGATTTTTTCTACTGCAGCGGAAGCTCAATATCCTTCAATGTTCTGTGATCGATATGCTGAATGTGCAAGTACAATGGTCGCTGCTAATGCACTGGAGTATAACTCAAAATTTTTTCGACTGCAATCTTTAATGGCCCAATCCATTCAAGCCAAAGGTCATGACCAATTGATCCCTGAATTTTCCCAAATTATTGTCACTACGGTACTCCCTCAACTGCCACACAAAATTTTGGCTCGCTTGGGACACGGGGGAGACGACAGCGAGAGGTCAGCTGAAAGCTACAAGGTTGGCATTTATTTCAACCATCATGATCACCTCAAGCGTTCTTTAGAATTGCAGCACCCTGCATTTACGCACAAGGGTGTACCAGATGATTTGAAGAAAGCTATTTTCTTTGTGGCAACACACTCGATGGCAGATGTTGCCCTGTTCCGCATCAGCAAGCTGGGAGAATGTGTTGAAATTGCAAAGCGACTGGCTCTTGCGGAGAAACTGGCGAAAGTCAAAATGGACAAGAACGTGGCGGAGGTGACCAAGGCAAAACGCATTGAACTTTGGGAAAAACTGCTGACCCAGGTTGGGTTCGAAGACATGGAGGTTGTGCGCTATATGCGCGAAGGAGTTCCCCTGACTGGCTGGGAAGACGAAAGCGCTTTGTACAAACAACGATGGGCTCCACCTACAATGACAACCGAACAGTTGGACCACAGTGCTTTGTGGCGACGAAAAGCCCTTATGGGCAAAGCCTTTACTGACGAAGAACGTGGGCTTGCAAAACTGCTTATGGAAGAAACTATGAAAGAGGTATCTGCTGGTTTTCTGGATGGTCCCTTTTTGGAGTCTGATATAACAGAAAGGCTTGGGCGTGCGGACTGGTCAATGTCCCAACGGTTCCTTCTTTTGCAAGGTGAAGACCTTAAACCTAGAGTGATTGACAACTACAAAACGTCGGGAGTGAATGCGGCCTTTGGAACATCGTCGCACCTTGACCTGCACGACACCGACGTAATCAGTTGCTTTCTTGCGTTTGCTTTGGGTGTTTTCTGCGGAGATCCACATATCGACATCGAACTTTCTTCAGGTGACCACCTCACTGGTCGAAGGCACCCTGACTACGACCGAAAGCCTTTGCTGCTGGGCAGGGGCATCGACTTGAGCAAGGCGTACAAGCAGGTCAGTGTTGCTCCTCAGTCTGCTAGACATAGCGTTTTGGGAGTGCGAAGTGAATCTGGCGAATGGAAGTTCTTTATATCGAAGTCACTGCCTTTTGGAGCCACGTCCAGCGTTTTTGCATTCAACAAGATCACGCGCGGTATCTGGACTTTGATGGTTCGAAAATTTCACCTCCTTACCACTGTATTTTATGATGATTTTCCTGTTATTGAGTTTGAACCTTTGGCGGCAACAACTACGAACGTGGTGCAGCACCTTTTGGATTTGCTTGGGTGGAAGCATGCTACGACTGGTAAAAAGAGTGTTGATTTTTCTGACACCATGCAGGTGTTGGGAGTAGCATTCCACTTGCAGAACTTTTGGAACAAACAAGTGACAGTGGCGAACCGCCCAAGTCGGATACAGAGGATTTTGGAGATGCTTGAATCATACGCTGCCAAGGGTACTGTGTCTGCACCCGAGGCGGCGACTATGCATGGATTGCTGAATTATGCTGGTGGCTTTGTGGTTGGACGTTGTTTGAAGCCTGCCGCCAGACAGTTTGCAAGTTTGCAGTCAGGTTCATCAGATACAGAGCTCATATCGCGCTTGTGCAATGATACATGCAGGATCATTAACCGAATGCGACCACGAGAAATTCGCTTCCTGAGCAGCGATCGTCCGGCAGTGATTTACACGGACGGTGCGTACG